GGCCCCATGACCAGACCCCCACAAAAAAAAAAAAAAAAACTCAAGGACAGCCAGGAGTCAGTGGCTCACACCTGTAATCCTAGCTACTTAGTAGGCTGAGCTCTAAGAATCGCAGTTCAAAGACAGCCGGGGCAGAAAAGTCCAGGAGACTCTTATCTCCAATTAACCATCAGAAAACAGGAAGTGGCACTGTGGCTCTTCAGCTTCGAGCTGAAGAGCTGAGGGACAGTGCTCAGGCCGGGTTCAAGCCCTAGAACCGACAAAAAAAAAAAAGAAAAAGAAAATCAGGAACAGTGCCCAGGCCTTGAGTTCAAGCTTCACAACCTACAAAAAAAGCCCACCATATATTAGTAGACTCCAATTTTAATCTTTGCTTTCAAGTAAGGGGTGTGATTTCTAGTGTGCCAGTATTTTCAAACATGTATACAACATTTAAACATATTAGAGCCACAAATATAGCTATTCATAAAAACTTAAAGCCTGTGGAAAGACATTAATGTTAAACATGGTATGTCGAACAAACATGTTTCTCTGTTTCTTCCTGAAACACATCCAAAATGAGAGTCAAGGACTAAAACAAATGTAAGTGTTCAGGAGGCTGTGCACATGGTCTAGAGGATGGATGACTGTTGAGGAAGCAGTCCCTGCCTAGAGGCCAGACCTCTCCTCACAGGAAGTGCCAAACACTAGGGAGGGAGATGGTTACATCACAGGACTGAAATCAGACTATGGCCCTGAAGTAATCGGCTCTCATTTTTAGACCTGGTGAATGTGATCTTACTTTGCAGATGTGGTAAAGTTAAGGACTAGGAGTGGAAGCAATGGTACTGGGTTATCCAGGCAGGCCTATGTAAGTCACCATGAAAGTCCTCCCAGTGAGGCTGAAGGAGATTTTGCACTGAGCTTAGGATTCAGCCACGTGGAGGTGGAGCAGAGAGATCTGAAGGTGGGGCTCTCAAGGATTAGGTTGATTTAACTGCAAATAGAGGAATGCTGGCAGCCCCACCTAGAAGAGGCAAGAAACAAGAGGCTATCTTGGAAACATTGGCGGGAACTCACCCCTGTGATACTTTGATTTTGGATCTGTGAAACTGATTTTGGACTTCTGGTCACAGAACTCTGAGAGCATACATTTCTGTGGGGCTGAGCCTTTATGTTTATGTTCCTTTGTTTACAGTGGCCACAGGGGACTAACAGGGAGAGGTTGAAGTTAGGGGTAAGGAGCCTTGAAGCACCCAGAGTCCCACTTGGCCCTGTGTGATCCCACCTCAGCTGGACCTCTCTGGGAAAACTGGAATTTGAACCCAAAATGCTTCTGATTCAGGGAGGCCCACACAGTGGGGAGCAGACAAGGCTCCTGATGGAGGGGTCTGCATTCCAATTCAGGGAACCTATGGCTTCCACTTCTGTCTCTAGACGATAAAGCTCATTCCTGGCAGGAACTGAACAGCCTTGGGGGGAAAAAAAGGACTTCCAGTTACTGAAATTTGGAGTTCCAGCAACTAAAAAGCTGGCTTGCATCTTATTGTTTTACAGAGAGGCCCTTTCCAGTCTTCCAGCTCCACCCATAAAGATACTGCTTGTAATCAACCACTTAGTGGCCTGTTTTCAGGTGACTATAAACACCCACTGCAATTCTCAGACCCATTTGAAAAGAGCATCCAACAGGGAAGAGAAAACAAAACAGGAAAAAAAAATCTACTTTGATACAGCGGTACCCCAGCAATTGGACATCACCAAGCCCCAGGGCCTCTGCTCAAAGGGCTCAGGACTGCTGCTCTGTTACCTTACCTGTGGGACAGATGATATGTTTGGAAAAAGTAGGATGATGTAGGAAGTGGAAGAAAACTGAAAAAGAAACAAACAAAAAAATAGTCAAAAATGCTGGAATTCAGATACTAAGAGTGATAACAAAAGATAATCAGCCAGCCGGGCACACGTGGCTCACGCCTGTAATCCTAGCTACTCAGGAGGCTGAGATCTGGGGATCGCGGTTCAAAGCCAGCCTGGGTAGGAAAGTCCGTGAGACTCTTTTTTTTTGGGGGTCCGGGGTGAGGCCTGAACTCTGGGCTGGGCGCTGTCCCTCAACTTTTCAGCTCAAGGCTAGCATGCTACCCCTTGAGCCATAGCACCACTTCCGGCTTTTTTTTTCCTGATTATGTGATGCTGAGGAATCGAACCCAGGGCCTCAAGCATGCAAGGCAAGCGCTCTACCACTGAGCCACCTTCCCAGCCCAGCGTGAGATTCTTATCTCCAATAAACCACTAGGAAACAGGAAGTGGTGATGTGGCTTAAACAGTAAAGGCTCACCTTGAGTTGAAGAGCGCAGGGACAGCGCCCAAGCCCAGATTTCAAGCCCTAGGACTGACAAAAAAAAAAAAAAGATAATCAGCCAGGACAAATGGTATTTCCCAGTTATAGGTTTAGCCCGTTCCACATGCTCTTCTCACAGTGACCCAAGTGGGATTTGCTCTTAAGGTTGGTGAGGAAAGGAGCCTGTGGCTGCCCAGCCAATCACCAGTAAGAGAACAGAACTGGTGCTATATAGTTTCTGAACCTGGATCACTTTTTTAAAAATCTAATATATTAAACTTTATTCTTGAGTAAATAACCAAGCATTTCTCAGTTTTCTGAGGTCTCTTTAGCAGTGTAATAATTTCAGTAGTTCATCTAGACATAAGCCTTCATTGAAACCTTTTTGTTTATTTGGTTTGCCATACTTTTCCTTATTTTCTGAGTAAGGAAATATGTCCTTTGGTCCTAAAAAAGCAGTCTCATGAGTTCCAAAAAAGAAAATGGGTAGTTTGTAGGAGGTTTTACAGCTCCATCAGCAACTTCATCTACTCGAGCTGGCCAGTGAAGATAACCTTTCATCTTGGCGAAGATGAGGTCTCTGGGTTTGAAATTGCGAGTCATGTTTCTGGTGTGAAGCCTGGAGGGCCTAAGGCCCGGAGCTGGGCGGGGGGGGTGGGCGGGCGGATGGGCGGAAGGTGCCTCGGGATGTCCTGACTCCTGCTGCGGCCGCGAGCACGGAGACTGCGGGGCCTGTTGGCCGCTTGCTGGCCGAGTCCATGCAAGCCACCTGCGCCACCAGCTGCCACAAAGGCATCTCAATTGAACCTGGATCATTTAAAGCATACAGCTGGCTTGTACCTATAATCATAGCTACTCAAGCGACTGAGATCTGAGGATCACGTGAAGCCATGCTGGGCAGAAAAGTCCATGAGACTCTTACCTTCAATAAACTACTCAGAAAAAGCTGAAAATAGTACTGTATAGCTTTGAGCAAAAAGGGGCTCAGGGGCAGTGCCCAGACCCTGAGTTCAAGCCCCAGGACCAGCAAAAGAAAGAATGGCACAGTATAATAATCAGACAAAAATAAAAAATAGGTTAAGCCAGCCACCAGTGGCTCACACTTGTAATCCTAGCTACTTAGGAGGCTGAGATCTGAGGATTATGGTTCAAAGCCAGCCCAGACAGAAAGCCTGTGATACTCTGTTACTATCTATCAAAAAAAAATAAAAAGGTAGAAATAGAGCTCTGGCTAAAGTCGTAGAGCACTAGCTTTGAGCCAAAAAGCTCAGGAACATGCCCAGGCCCTGAATTCATACCCCAGGACCAGAACAAAACAACACACACATCCACCACCATCACCACCACCACCAACAACAACAACAGGTAAAATATTCAATAGGAGAAAGGGAGCTGAAGAGTTCTGGACTGGTTTAGATGATGGGGTCCCATCACTGTAGCCAGGAAGAATTTGGCTCATTGGTTAGGCCCAATTATCCTCCTACTCCCGACCTGTGGCAGAACCTTTATGGAGTTGTTCCTGGAAGAAGAGTCTGGGAAGGACAGTAGGTGACTTCCTGGAAGGTGTGCACTTCCCTTTAGTTGCTCTGGTCTCTATTAAGCTAATGGGGATCAGTCACATTCCCAGGCTAGGCCATTCTGCTTCAGGATGAATGCCCCACAACCTAAAAAACAATTGTTCTTATTTCATTGGCTAGAATAGCATTATTTGCCTATGCTTAAAGCAAATAGTTTGGCAAAGAGTATTGAATCATCTCAAAGGAATTCAGATACAACACCTTCTCCCATCAGCAGGCTATGTAGAGGCTGAGCTTCCCCTAAGTTTTCTGATTCTGTAAGAGGTTGAACTGATCTTACTTGTAAGGGAGGAAGTGGGCTAATGGTTCTGGGTAGTAGCCAATAGTGATGACTTTTGTAGCATAAGCTGTAAAGCCATAAGGCTTTGTCTTGGAAGAAGACAGACAGCAGGGAATGGAGATGGAGATGCACTTAGCTGAACAATCCTGAACTGGCTCACCAGTGGGTCCCTTCATTTATACTTTCCTTCTCTTAAAGTGGTAATGGTCTGGCTCAGAGCTAAAATGCCTTTGGAGGTTATTTGGCACAATGTTCTGGCTCTAACTTTCTGACTCCAAAAGAAAACCATTTCACCTATTCAAATGTCTGTTTTCTTACTTGAAATTTGTGGTAGTAATGTATCCACAGGGGTTGCCACCAGGATTTAGCACCATGCCTGATATACAGGAAAAGCTTAGTAAGTGACAGCAATGATCATCACTGTACATCAGCATTTGTCAGACACACAACAGGATTGCTAATTAGTTAAGAAACATTTGATTATATTCTAAGTGTAAAAGTCCCTATCAGACTTGAGAAAACTAACAACTACAAAAGTAGAGTTAGGTTGGCTGCCAGCAGATGCAGTATAGTAATGTCTAGCTAAATGCTTCTTTGAACCTAAATTTCATTCTCTTTAAAATAAGTCTCTTTCAAGCTAGGTACTTGTAATCCTTACTACTCAGAAGGCTGAGATTTGAGGATCATGGTTTGAAGCTAGTCCAGACTGGAAAGTCCATGAGTCTCTTATTTCCAATTAACCACTAAGAAAACTAGAAGTGGAATGATTAAGTGGTAGAATACCAGCTTTGGAGTGAAATAAGCTGAAGGATAGAGCCCAGGCTTTGAGTTCAAGACCCAGTAGCCCAGTATCGCTCTCTCCTCTCAAAACAACAGGAAGTCTCTTTCAGTAGATCTGATCCCCAACTCCCAAGAAACACCAGCTGAGGATAAAATAGAATCATGTTCTTACCTGTGAAGACTGGAATAAGTCCACTTGCCAGGGCCAGGCCTCTCTGACAAGCTAACTAGAAGATTCTAGAAGTCTTGAACCTAGAAGAGAAGTCATTGTGACAAACTGAGTGAGTATTTAAGTATTTCTCCTCATAAATGCTTCTGAAATCTCTCTTCTTTGGCCAGCACCACCTAGTGTTAAATAGATGAACAATGATTGCAGGGGAGGTACATTTGTAATTCATTCTCATTCTCTAGTGATTTATTTCATTGATTGGCATGGGATCATGTGTTACATGCACTCGTATAATTGCAAATGAGTGTTTGCATATGTATTTTAATAAAAAAATTAGGATAGCTTTAGGTAACAGAAAAGTTACAAAGTACAGTCATGTTCAAGAAACCAAGATCGATACACTACTATCAAACCCATGGTTGCTTAGCCTTCTCTGGTCTGGGACAGTTTCTGTTATATATATATAATATTGGCATTTTGAGAAGTACTGGTCAAGCATTTTGTAGAATGCTTAAGATTGGGTTGTTTGGTGTGTTTCTCATGATAGCCTGGGTTTATAGATTTTGAGGAAGAATACTGCAGTGGTCAAATGCCATTCACATCCTATCAGGTATACATGCTGTACCAACATGACCTCACTGATGTTAACTGGGATCATTGTGCCAAGGTAGCATATGCCAGACTCCTCCTCCTCTATACTCTCTTTCCTCGAAGCAAGCCAATAAGTTGAACCCAGTGTGTGTGTGTGTGTGTGTGTGTGTGTGTGTGTGTGTGTGAGAGAGAGAGAGAGAGAGAGAGAGAAATAAGAGACAGATACACACACACAGAGAAACAGAGACAGAGAGTCAGAGACAGACAAACTCCATTTTTTTCCCAATCCTGGGGCTTGCACTCAGGGCATGGGTACTGTCCCTGAGCTTCTTCTGCTCAAAGCTAGCACTCTACCACTTAAGCCATAGTGCCATGTCTGGCCTTTTCTGTTTACATGGTACTGAGGAACTGAACCCAGGGTTTTCATGCATGCTAGGCAAGCACTGTACCCCTAAGCCACCTTCCCAGCCCAGAAACTTCTAAAGGGGCATGAGTTATTTGAAATTCTGTTAAAGAACTCTTTAATTCTTCTCCTATCTTTATTTAGTCACCCTTTATTTACATCAGCATGAATTCATGGATTTTTTTTTCTTTTTTCTTTCTTTCTTTTTTTTTTGTCAGTCATAGGGGCTAAACTCTGGGCCTGGGCTCTGTCCCTCAGCGCCACTTCTGGCTTTTTCTGTTTATGTGGTGCTGAGGAACCAAACCCAGGCCCTCATGCATGCAAGGCAAGCACTCTACAGACTGAGCCACTTTCCCAGCCCCTCATGGATGTTTTATACTTTGTGTTATGACTCAGTATTATGTTATTTACTCTATAGCTCAAATTATAGCTACCACCCCTGGGGGCTCATTCAGACTAGCTTTCATGACTTGCTGACAGGCCATCTTCCCTTTCTCTTTGTAATTTATTTTTCACTAAAAACTTCAAATGGTGTGGTGGTACATGCCTGCTGGTAATCTCAGCTACTTGCAAGGAAGACAGAAGCAGGACTGAGGTCTAAGGCTAGAGGGTAACATCCCAGATCCTACCTGAAAAAAAAAAAAAACTAAAAGCAAAATGGATTGTGGCTTAAACAGTAGTATGCTTGCCTATTAAATGGAAGGCCCCAAGTTCAATTTCCAGTACAGCAAAAATAAAAAAGAAGGCAGCACAGATTAGGACTGAGGACTCTGGAAATGGGCCAAGTCTGGTAGTACATGCCTGCATTCCCAGTTACTTGGGAGGCAGAGGCAGAGGCAGCAGGATCTTGATGAGTTTGATGTTAGTCCAGGCAAAGCTAAACAAAATACAATCACAAGGGCTGGGAACTTCGATCAAGTGCTAGACATGGGCTCAAATTTCAGTACTGCAAAACACAACAAAATATATGTCACTGGAAATGGACAATGTGACTCATTTAAAAATTATTTATGATATCACATGAACTAAACACAAATGACAGCACTAAAATGTCACTGAGATAAGGAAATACTATATATCCAGACCTACTACTTGTTCTAATTTACACAGGGTCTTGTTTCATTCCTTTGTTTAGAAAATGACTTCCTACCTGCTTGGCACCAAGAAAAGAGTCCAAAATATTATGTCTGTATAACTTCAGTGGTTTTGAGATTTATATTTTGAAAACCTTTAAGTGAAATCTTTTGGACCCTTATGTAAAAAAAAATAGATTTAAAAAGGCATTTTATCAGTATTCCTTTATTTTACATGTTCACAACTACAATTTCATAACAACCATGTTTCAAAGCACATCAGAATCTATAGTTAAACATTGTTGCAGACTTGTCAGTCTCAACTACTTTTATTTTATTTTGATTACAGTAATTCTGATTCACACAGAAAATGACTTAAAGTTAACCATAGCTTATTTATCATAAAGGCAGGGCAGGGCCATACCTAAAAACTACTAGTGACACAACATGGTCACACATGACTAGAACACCTGCAGCTGTTAAAAACCAAACATCTCAGTGAGATCTGGACAGCAAGTGCACCTGAACCTTGGTTTTCCTCTCAAAGAACTGTGTAGTTGGAACCACAGGCCTTTTGACAACTTTGTATGATAAAAACTCCACAGGGTGGAATTTCAGTATCAGTGGAATGACAAATTTAGGAGACACTGAATAGGCACAGAAACAAGAAAGGTACATGAGCAGACAACTTTTCTTCAGCATTCCTTTTTCTTCGTGTGTTTTTTTGCCAGTCTTGGGGCTTGACCTCAGGGCCTGGACACCGTCCCTGAGCTCCTTTAGCTCAAAGCTAGTACTCTTATCACTTGAGCAACAGTGCCACTTCTGGCTTTTTCTGTTTATGTGCTACTGAGGAATTGAACCCAGGGCTTCATGTATGTTAGGCAAGCACTCCACCATTAAGCCCCATTCTCAGCCCCCTTCTTCCTATTAGTGTTTAGATCCCTAACTTGCAGAAACTCTCTAGGCTTACTGACCACACCAAATAGTCTCTCAAGAGTCTACAAGCATTCAGACACTGTAATCGAAGGATTATTTATCTGGATGGTACAAATATTATCAAATGCTGGGCCTGGAAGACTTTTTTATGGGTCGGTTGTGGGGCTTGAACTCTGGGCTTGGGTGCTGTCCCTCAGCTTTTCAGCTCAAGACGAGCACTCTACCATTGAGCCACAGTGCCACTTCTGGTTTTCTAGTGGTTTATTGGAGATAAGAGTGTTAGATTTGGGCTGGGAAGTTGGCTCAGTAGAGTGCTTGCCTCGCATGCATGAGGCCCTGGGTTCGATTCCTCAGCACCACATAAGCAGAAAAAAGCCGGAAGTGGTGCTGTGGCTCAAGTGGTAAAGCGCTAGCCTTGAGCTGAAGAGCTGAGGGACAACGCCCAGGCCCAGAGTTCAGCCCACACCACCGGATCAAAAAAAAAAGAGTGTTAGGTTTTTAAAAAGAGGTAGCAGAGTAAGAACTGTACCACGCACTCCACGCAGCTGGCAAAAGAGAGGAAAGAGCTAGAAAAGAGCAGAGAGAGCTAGAAAAGAGCAGCAAGAGAGCGTCTGGGCCTGCACTAGGCCTTATGTAGGGTATGGGCGGAGAAAGATGTGGCCACATCAAATTCAGATGTGACCTCAGCGTATGCAGATGTGACCTCTTCCAGGTGTCCCAGTTGCCTAGGTATCGCAGGTACTGGGTGGAGACTTTGCTGAGAGGAGGGTGGAATGTGCTGGCCACCCAGGAGCGGACCTTACAAAGAGTCTCACGGACTTTCCTGCCCAGGCTGGCTTTGAGCCTCGATCCTCAGGTTTCAGCCTCCTGAGTGGCTAGGATCACAGGCATGAAGATTCTAGATTAATTGTCTAATTTTCTCTGCATCTGACACCTGCCATGTCTTCATCATCTGAGTAGTATGATATATCTAGGGTCCATATTCCTCTTTGCTTGGTTGTGGAGGATTCCTGCCTGAGAATACTCTCAGCTTTTGATATTTCAGGTATTGTAGTCTGAAAGGCCTCATCTAATGCCTGTGCTAACGTAGAGGCTTACATTTCAGATAGCTTATCCCTACCTAGGACAAAAGGGTCATTTCCACACCCAAAAGCTCTGACCAACTCACCCACTGTCATGTCCTCTACCTTAAATAAATTAAAAAAAAAAACCTCATTTAATCTGCTGAAAATTTCATTATCAGGGTCAGGTGGTTTAAAGATCACTCTCCTTTTCCTTAGGGATCAGCGTAGGACTCATCTCCCCGGTAAACCCAATTGTGGCTACATTCCTGTTTTCGTCCCTCCGGAAAGTCTTCCCAAGCAGTCGGTCCTGGCGCACGCGAGCCGGACCAGCCCGCAGAGCGTCCTCCATCACTGCCACAGCGCGGGTCTCAGGGATGCCGGCAGCCAGCAGACCTCTCCGAGCGCTCAAATCCAGCCCCTGTGCCCGTCTTCTACCAGCCTCGGCGTCACGGTGCCCAGGGAAACAGACGCAAGCTCTAATCGACCTGCCCGCGGCCGCCCACCGCCGCGCACCAGTAATCCCGCTCAGCCAGCCACGCCGGTCTCGGAACCTGCCGCGGCCGAGCAGCCGGCGAGGACAGAGCCGTCAGGTAAGCTGTCCACGTCGGGGTCACCGGGGCCTCAAGGGTGGACCCTCGCCGTCGCGCCGGTCCCGACCCTCACACCCCTGCCCGGCTCCCCAGGCGCTGCCGCCCGCCTCCTGGACCCCGAGTTACAGGTGTTTCCGGCGCGCCCGCGCGGGCGGCGCCCCTGACGTCACGAGGGGCGGACCCTGGGTGCGGAGCACGCGCTTCCGGCTCGAGCCGGAAGTCCCGACTGCGGCGGCATCCGGGACGGCGAGCGGGCGGGCCACTCGGGGCAGGAAGGTGAGACCCGGGACCTGCTCGTCTTAGCAGGCGGTCTTGGCCGGCAGCCCTCGTGGGCGCTGCGCTCGCGACGTTGCAGGGTGGCGAGGTTCCGCTCAGGCGCCACCTGCGTAGGTCTGATCGCGGCAGGGGGCGGGGCCGGGGCGGCGAGGCCCCAGTGACCCGGTGCTTCCCGCCGGGCCAAGGGACCCAGCCTGGGGCTCGGAGCAGGGCCGGGCCGCCTCGTGACCGCCGCAGTCACGCCGTCCTTAATCACCACCAGCCTGTGCGCCAGGCTGGCCACGCTCGCCCTCCCCCAAGCCAGGCGACCCAGGGGATTTTTGTGGTGGCTTGTTCTGAAATGCCAAAGCCACCCGATTATTCAGAACTGAGTGACTCTTTAACGCTTGCCGTGGGAACAGGAAGATTTTCGGGACCACTGTAAGTGCCTCAGAGTTGCTGTCTTAACTTGGGGGCTCCGATACTGGATTAACATGTAGAACCCAGTCAGTAGCAAAGCTGTTAAACTAGATGGCATTTCAACCACAGAAGTGGAATGTCCCCCAGGAAACTAGTGTAATTCTAATTTCTGAGGGGACGGTGTACTGTAAGGTTTAAGCAGAACTTAAGATATACTGAAAGCAGTGCCTACTTGCTCCTAGCTATTACATAAAGCCATTTGTAAGCTGTTCGCATTTAATACAAATTTGTCTTAAATGTGATAGTGGCTATTTCACATATATACTATAGGCTATAAAGCAAGTGCATTGCAATAGTTGCCATGGCGGCACTACTAAACCTCAACTGGATTTTTTCTTTTAAGTCACAGAGCATGGAGAATGATGAATTTCCGTCAGCGGATGGGATGGATTGGAGTCGGACTCTATCTGCTAGCAAGTGCAGCAGCATTTTACTATGTTTTCGAAATCAATGAGACTTACAACAGACTGGCTTTGGAACACATTCAACAGCACCCAGAGGAGCCCCGGGAAGGAACTACATGGACACATTCCTTGAAAGCTCGGTTACTTTCCCTGCCTTTTTGGTTGTGGACAGTTATTTTTCTCATACCTTACTTACAGATGTTTTTGTTTCTTTATTCTTGTACAAGAGCTGATCCCAAAACTGTGGGCTACTGTATCATCCCCATATGTTTGGCAGTTATTTGCAATCGCCATCAGGCTTTTGTCAAGGCTTCTAATCAGATCAGCAGACTCCACCTGATTGACACATGAACTCTGTCCGTTTTTCTTTATGATTACAAAACTGCCAGTACTTTATGGAGTCTGATCACAAGACTGCAGTTTCTCCACAGATCTCAGGAAATTGTGGTAGGGTAGAGGTTTTTTAAATGTGACATGGAATTATATCTGTTTTTGTCGGTCGTGGGGCTTGAACTCTGGGCCTGGGCACTGTCCCTGCGCTCTTCAGCTCAAAGTGAATGCTCTACCACTTGAGCCACAGCACCACTTGTGGAATTATATCTGAATAATGACTTTTTAGGTAAAGCCTGGCCTGACATAACATACAAAATCATGTCAGTGACTTCAGATTTTGGAAGTAATATTGTCTTTGTTATTTTCAGTCCTTAGAAACTTGAATAAGTATCTGAACTCATGTTTCTGCTCTACTGTACAACATAGTGGTGATTCATAAATTTTTCCTTTGGGGGGAAAATATGAACATTCCCATTGTGTTGTGTTAAAAGGTCCAACCATGGTCATAAAATTTATACAATTACTTTGCTTTAAAATTCTTCTTATCATACTAAAACATCATTATTTTGTTGTAGCTAAGCCAAATGTTTATGCTTGCTTGCTTTCATCTTGTGAAGAGCTAGTATAAATTACTGAGGTGTTTTTCTTTCATTCTTTCTTGATATTAGGGACTAAACCACACACACTGTACAGCAGAGCTAAACCCCAATCATGATAGTTGTCTTGACAAGAATTTGCTCTGGATAATGGCTACCTAAATCATTATTGCTATTAGTTTTAAAGAATTATTTGGGAAGACTAACATTTAAAAATCAAAAAAAATCTAGAAGTAACTTGTACATCAAAGATGGGGAGATAATATGGTCAAAGGAAAATATCTCAGGTAATTTAGGCTAGTACTTATAAGAACATGATACCTTTCCAATGCTACCATTTCATCATCCCTCATTCTTTATGGCCCAAGGTTAGGTACTTCCATGAAGATGTGATCCTTGTACCTCCTTTGCACTTCTGTATGGTACCAATATAAATAGGAAAATTACTAGATTCTTTTCTGGATGAGCTAAACAGTTTCTGGGTGTTTTTTTTTTTTTTTTTTGTTAAACTGGTACTGAAGGCTTGAGCCTAACTTTTCAAGTTTTTGCTCAGATTTTACTTCAGCTGGCACTCTACCACTTAAGCCATACCTCCATTTCCAGCTTTTTAGCAGTTAATTGGAGAAGTGTTTCTTGGCTCAGTCTGCCCAAAATGAGCCTTGATTCTCACATCTCAGCATCCTGAGTAGCTAGGATTACAGGCATGAGCCACCAATGCCTGGCTATTCAGTTATGTTAATACATGAAAACATTTTACTGTTTCACTAATAACACTGTTCTATCGTGACAGCATTATGTTTATCATAATTTGATAGGCCTTGTCTTAAGAGAGCCAATAGGGGGCTGAGAAAGTGGCTCGGTAGAGTGCTTGCCTTGCATGCATGAGGTCCTGGGTTCAATTCCTCAGCACCACATAAGCAGAAAAAGCTAGGACTGGCACTGTGGCTCAAGTGGTAGAGCACTAACCTTGAGCTGAAGAGCTGAGGGACAGCACCCAGACCCAGAGTTCAGGCCCACAACTGGCAAAAAAAAAAAAAAAGAGCCAATAAGTAAATATGTGTGATCATTTTATAAAATCTGCAATATTTAAAATCTCATATACTTTTGGACCATGATTGGGAATCATCATTCATTAGTGTTTTTGTTTTGGTCTACAGCAATATGAATAGATATTAAATTGGCTGTATACATTAGAACTATCAAGGGAAAAAATCACTTGCCAATGTCCACACACCAAAACCTGCTTGGCTGTACACATTAAAACTATCAAGGAAAAAAATCACTTGCCAATGTCCACACACCAAAACCTGCTTGACTCTTATCAATCCAGTGGCCAGGAATACTTTAATGTTATTCTTCTCAAGTCCTCCTGAATTTTCCTCAGAATACAAATGAAGTTTTTAACATGACATACCTTTAATTTTCTACTGTTTGTGCTGTAGACTATTTTAGTCGAACTGGTCATCTTGATGATTTTTTGTGTGTGTGTGTGCTGGTCTTGGGGCTTGAAGTCAGGGCCTAGACACTGTCCCTGAGCTTTCTTGCTCAAGACTAACACTCTACCACTAGAGCCACAGCTGTACTCGCAGCTTTTTTGGTAGTTAATTGGAGATCAGAGTCTCCTGGACTTTGATGGGAATCACAATCCTTAGATCTCAGCCTCTTAAGTAGCTTGGATTATAGGCCTGAGCCACTGATGTCCAGCTTATCTTGATGACTCCTGAACTTGGTAGAACACCCTGACTCAGAGCCTCTGCATTACATGTGCCCAGCCTGATGCTAGGACCTGTCTTGTTGCACTACCTTCTTCCAATGTTTGCTCAAACTACCCTATTTAAAAGGAAGAGTCCTTCTTCCCTGTTTAACTTTTCTCCATAGGACTTGATGTCATATGCTACATATTGTGTCAGATCTTAAATCCACAAAGGCTGGGGTTCTGTTGTTTACTGATGTAGGTCCCTAGGTCCCATATCTACAACTGTGCCAGGAACACAGTAGGTACCCAGTATGTAATTACTGATGTACACTTCTCTCTCTTTTTTTAAAAGCATTTTTGTCTTTTGCGTTGTATACTTTTCTTGCTAGACGGCAAAACAGTATAGTTCATTCTTGAGAAGTTAGTATTTGCTACTAAATGCATAACATATCATTTGTTTAGTTGTCAGTTATTAAACTAGTTATTAACCTCTTTCAGATTCCAGAATGTAGTGATATATTTTCTTCAAGAAAAATGGCTCTTTATTAATAGTCTTTGTGACACTGTGACACTGGTCACAATGTGACAAATAGGAATTTTCCTACTGATGCTGAGGGAAAAAAACATACGCATATAACAAGGTTTTAAAACATTCCTAAGGCCCTAAAGAAAATTTTGTTTCAATCATGAAGAATTTCTAAACCATCAAAATGCCAAATATAAACCACTCTTTTCCAACTATAGCATATAATTTCAATCCTGAGCACTGAAACCAATACTGAGAGCCTATAAAAACACTCAAACTACTTCTATTCCCACCAGAATTTTGAAAGTACACTTCTACGTAAAACTATATCGCCATGGCCTATCAATGTCTTAATACAAGCTGCTACTTTTGTGGGGCTTGAACTCGGCCTAGGTGCTGTTCCCTGAGCTCTTCAGCTCAAGGTGAGCACTCTACTACTTGAGCCACAGCGACACTTCCGGTTTCCTGGTGGTTTTATTGGAGATAACAAGACTTATAGACTTTCCTGCCCGGGCTAGCTTTGAACCTCGATCCTCAGATCTCAGCCCCCTGAGTAGCTAGGATTACAGACATGAGCCATCAGCGCCTGGCTAAGCTGCTACTTTTTAAAAGACTTAAAACATAAGCTCATTTCTAGCATACATCATTCCTTTAGTCATGTCTTTAAATAGAGCACTCTTGATCCTAAAGGCTACCTAAGAATTAACAATTACAGGAACAATGTGAAATTTATTTTATACTTTGAAAGTAATGCATGTTTTTCAAGGATAAGGCTAAGTATGTCAATTTTATGAACAACACCTCCCCTCTTCGTATTTAACTCTGCTCAAATGCCTAAGGAAGTTGCATTCTACTTCCTCTTTTGACAAAGTAGTTGGATTTGAAATATAGATTTCTGTGTGTGAAGATAATATGGTTTGAACTCAAGGCCTGATATTGTCTTAGCTTTTTTTGCTCAAGGCTAGTGCTCTTCTACTTGACCCACAGCTCCATTCCCGTTTTTTGATAATTAGAGATAAGAGTCTCCAGGACCTTATGTCCAAGCTAGGTTCAAACTGTGAACCTCAAATCTAAGCTTCCTGAGTAGCTAGGATTACAGTGTAAGCCATGAGAGTCTGGCCTATTTTTGTTTTTGAAGTCTAAATTCACTTTATTTTTTGCCCTGAATTACTTATATGACAGGGTATTAATTCTTGATTTGCCCTTATTAAATTTAAAGCATGACTTTTTAAAATTAAAAGTTGTTTGTGTTGGAGGAGGGATAGACTTTGAAGCCAGCAAGGGTTTCAAAACAAGGCCTTGTCTTTAAAAAAAAAATTACTTGAAAGTTTCAAAATAACTTTTTACCTATTTGTACAAAAAAAATTTTTTTAAGTGCAACTAGAACCAAAGGCCATACAATGAGAAGCTCCCCTCTCTCCTGATCCTACTTCCTTTTTCCCAGGACAGCGTGACTACACAACATCTAGCATACACTCTCCAGTCATCGCCTACTACCCAATTCTCTATCGCTCTAGTTTTCATGTAATGTACAGTGATCCCTGTATAGCACACTGGGCTATATCTTTTTGTCTTAATAGCTACACAATATCATTCCATTATTTTTACTTACTAGTGTTCTGCTAATGGATATATTCTTACTAAGAATAACATTGCAATAACTAGTTTTATAAACAGCTCTTTGGGCATGTGTTATCTGTAGGAGAAATCCTGGTAAAACTGTTGAATCAAATATCATGTATATTAGCCGATTGCTGGTGGCTCATTTCTATGATAGTTTTCAACTTTAGTTCTCAATTACCAAGTACAAAAAGTTCAAATAGGAGTTGCGTTTTCTTACGAAACAGCAGTCAAAAATTAAAGAACCAAGGCTAGGAAGGTGGCTCAGTGGTAGAGTGCTTACCTTGCATGCATGAGGCCCTGGGTTCGATTCCTCAGCACTACATACACAGAAAAAGCTGGAAGTGGTGCTGTGGCTCAAGTGGTAGAACACTAGCCTTGAGCTGAAGAGCTGAGGCCCAGAGTTCAAGCCCCATGACCGACAAATAAATAAAAATTAAAGAACCAAATGCTTGTGGCTCATACTTGTAATTCTAGCTACTCAGGAGGCTGAGATCTGAGCTTCACAGTTCAAAGCCAGCTTACACAGGAAAGTCCTGTCCTTGAGACTCTTTATCTCCAATTAACCAGCCCCAAACCAGAAGTGGAACCATGGCTTAAGTAGCAGAGTTGACAGCCTTGAGTGAAAAAACAAAGGGATAGCACCCATGCCTTCAGTTCAAGCCCCAAAAACTGCACCAAAAAGGTTGAATTGGAGGTGTGGCTCAAGTGGTAGAGCACCAACCATCAAGTAAGAATGTAAGTCCCTGAGTTCAAATCCCAATACATATATGTATGTATGTGCATGCACAGACACCCAAAAACAAACAAAAAGGTGCCCTAGACCAGGCCCCAGGACCAGCAAAAAAATAAAAATAAACGTGCCTTGGTACAACAGGCAAACACAATAGAAACATACGTTTCAGCCACTAAGTGTTTTGAAAAGGATTCAACAGTTCTTGTTTGGTTTTACCTTTTTTTTTGTTGGTCATGGGGCTTGAACTCTGGGCCTGGGCGCTGTCCCTAGCTCTACCACTTGAGCCACAGCACCACTTCCAGCTTTTTCTGTTTAGATGGTGCTGAGGAATCGAACCCAGGGCCTCAAGCACTCTACCACTAAGCCACCTTCCCAGCCCTTATTTTTTGAGATAGGATCTCTTTATATAGACAGGTTAAACTCAAGATCCCTCTGCTTCAACCTACCAGTTGCTGAGATTAGTAGTGTACCACCACCAGTATCCATTTTATTTTTATTTTTTGGTTCATGCTTGGTGCTGTACCACTTATTTAATCCACAACTCTAGTTCTAGTATTTGTTTTTGTTCTGGTACTAGCTTGAACTCAGGGCTTTTCACATTCTTAGCCTTTTTGCTCAAGGCTGGTGCTCTGCAACTTGAGCCACAACTCCACTTCTGGCTGGTTAGTTGGAGATCAGTCTTAGATTTGTCTGCCCATAGTCCTAGTATGTCAGTTCACTCATTTTCCTTCTACTTACAAAGAATTAATATTTTGGTGCCTAGTATAAAAATTTTCTCCCACTTGCTCTCACCAGTTTTTCCAAAATAATATTACTTATGAACCATGACACATACTTTGGTACTAGGACTTAAACTGAGGGCCTCTCATGGCTGGCACTCTACCACTTATGCCAATCCCCTACTTCAGCCTTTTGCTGGTTAACTGAAGAGTCTCTTAGACTTGTCTACCCTGAATCACTTCAAAACACCATCCTCTCAGCCTCCTGAGTAGGTAGGATTATGGTATGAGCCAATAGTGTGCCTAGCTTACTCTGCTATTATTATTGTTGTTATTGTTATTGTCAGTCATGGGGCTTGAACTCAGGACCTTAGCATTGTTGTCCCTGAGCTCTTTTGCTCAAGGCTAGTGTTGCTCTACTACTTTGAGCCATAGCTCTACTTCCAATGTTCTGGTGGTTAACTGGAGATAAGTCTCATGAACATCCTTGCCCAGGCTGACTTTGAACCATGATCCTCAGATTTCAGCCTCCTGAATAGTTAGGATTACAGATTTGAATTGCCAAAGCCTGGCCTTTTTTTTTTGGGTCAGTCATGGTGCTTGAACTCAGGGCTTAGGCTGTCTCTGAGCTCTTTTGCTTAAGGCTAGTTCTCTACCAACCTTGAGGCACAGCTCCACTTCCAGTTTTGGGGTGGTTAATTGGAGATAAGACTTTCCTGCCTGGACTGGCTTTGAACTACAGTCCTCAGATCTCAGCCTCCTGAGTAGCTAGGATTATAGGCATGAGCCACTGGCACCCAGCTGGACATGTACTTTTTATAACAGAAGTTAAAAGATATATCACACACTTTAATATAGTATTTAAAAAAATAACACAATGATAAAAATTCAGTAGCCAATTTGGAAGATTTCATACATCATGAAGTATTCTGTTATTTCTACAGCCTGAAATTTCTCACTCAAGACAACAGACTATAGTCCCAAACATTTATCTTCCTCTGGTAAAAAACAAAATTTTTCTTCTGATAAACTTGTTCCAAGAGAGCAAAATACATGTTTTCCCAAACTACAGCGCAAAGCTCCCTTAAATATCAGTGTGAATAGGATGTAAGATGTAGTAGTAGTCTTTTTTTTTTTTGAGGCAATGTCTTGCTACATAGCTCAGGATGGCCTTGAATTTTCAATCTTCCTGCCTCAGCCTCCTGAATAGCTGAGAATACAGGCAATGCATTCTACTTGGCCCAGCTCAATAGAAGTCTTTTGAATTTCATAAATGCTATTACTAAGATGGTGGTTTGGGTCGTTTTGCAGATGGTCCGTCTGAGTTACTTCTCTTATCAATGTTATTTTCATCTTCTGCATCATCTTCATCATCACCTTTTAAAATAAATATTTGTTGTATGACATGTTCAGTGAATGAAAGAAATATTGACAGCTAAAATGGTTGATATGAGACCATTTAACTTTCAGGATTAATAAAACTATTCTCATCTTAAAAGATTATATTATTTAATCCTAGCTATTCAGGAGGCTGAGAACTTAGGATCAGAGTTTGAAGCCAGCCTGGGCAGGAAAGTCCTTGTGTATTTTCTCCAAATAACCACAAAAAGCCAGAACTGGAGCTGTGACTCAAGTGGTAAGCTCAGGTGCTTAGGTCCAGAGTTTAAGCTCTGGGACACACAGTTCCTAGTTCTGATTTAAGACACAATAAATAAAATTAATGGAGTTTTATCATTCCATTAATGGTTCCACCTTCAAATTGCATTTACAAAACTGGGAAAAGGCATTATATTCGAAGTACATTACGTAAAAGAAGTACCAAACCTGAGGGTATGAATGGAATTGGGAAAGATGAGGAGAGGAGAGAACAATGGAAAGGGGTGATACTGGTGCATTTTACTCATAATCTGACAGGATGAGTGGAAACTTCTTTGCATAACTACTTAAAACAACAAAAATAAGTAAAAGAAAAACACAGGAAGGGAGCCTCTGGGTTAAGACTGAAGTCTGTCCCAATCTGCAGAAGCTGTCCCTCCCTACTAGGCTGCACTCTTTCTTACACCTGACAAACTATTTTCCTTTACCAACACCCAGCTAAAAAGCCATGCTCCCTCTAGACTGGCCTTCCTCGACCATCTCTGCCACAGTGAAAGAACCCCTCATAGATTTGATTTTCCTTCTTTAACGATTGGATCTGCCCATCACACCTCGTGGTGTGAGGACACTGAGTACAATCCATCTCACTTTTTCTCCAGCCCAATGCTTGGCACAGAGTAGTAGGCGTTGAATGCATTTTTGTTTTGCTTTGCTCTTTTTCTCCCAATATAAATCCTCAGGAAGAAATAGCTCGCTCAGAAAAGAGCACAGCAGGGCCTATCATTTTTAGGTGAAATTCTTACTCCAGGCTCACTTTCAGTCAATCCGTCGGTTATATAACGGGCTCAATTCTTACCCAGGCTCACTTTCGGTCAGTTAACCGGTCATTTCACGGGCTCCCCAGCCGAAGGCCCCAGGGCGCCGCGCCCCGCCCCGCCGCACCCTCCGGGAGCCTCGGCAGCCTCACCGTCCAACGCGTCGTCTGGGGTCGCCGCCACCCGGCCCTGCGCTTCCGGCTGGACCAGGGAACCGAAGAATTCGACGACTAGCTCCTTCATCTGGGTTACGCCCGACAACAGACTCTGGAAAGGATCGGCGTCACCTGACGTCTGGCAGGTCACCCGCAGTCGCCGAGGCTCCCCGTCAGGCCCTACGTACTCCCCTACCAGCTCCATGGCGACCGCTTCGCTTTAAGAGCGCGCCACGGGGAAGCGCCACCGGAAGCGGAAATGAGCCCGCGGCCGGCGCAGGCGGGAGAAAGCAGAGAGATGACTTCCGTTTGTCGGATGTCGCTCCTCCCCCTTCCTTTGCGTTCCTTCTTTACGATTGGTTCCTGGCTCTGAGGCCCCGCCTTCTCCGCTACGCCCCTCGCGGCCGCTTTTCCCGCCTCCGCCGGAGTCGTGGTAGGGTGCGGGTGACAGTTGAGCATGGCCGGAGCGGAGAGCCCCGCTGGGCGTCCGTCGGAGCTGGAGCCCGTGGTGTCGTTGGTGGACGTGCTCGAGGAGGACGAGGAACTGGAGAACGAGGCGTGCGCTGTCTTGGGCGGCAGCGACTCCGAGAGATGCTCCTACTCGCAGGTGGGCGCGCGGCCCGGGCCTCGTCTTCCCACCTAGCTCTCCCGGTTTCTGCCTGCCGTGGGCGTCCCGCCTGCGCCGCCCCAGGGACACCGCTGGTCGTAGGCTTCCCCAGCCCCCGCGCTGCTGCCTTTTCCGCGCCCCCTTCCTCCGCCTGTGTCCCGCAGGGGCCTCCCTCCGTCCTGCGCCCAGCCGCTCGCGATTGTGCAGACGCAGACCCTGGCCCTGAAGCTGCTGCCCTGCCCCTCCTCTCCGACTGGAGGGCCTCCTGGGTGGCCCGGCTGCGTTTCACGAAACCGTCGTCTCAAATCTAGACATGTTTGACCCTTCTTTTTTCCATCTTAAGAATGTTTAGGAGGAAATGAATCGGAGCGTGATGGTCAAAATAGAGTTTTGTAAGGGCCCTGGGATTGAAATTTTTCCCCTGTGCTGTAAGCTCCTTGGCAATTCTGCAATTTAGTTTAACTGCACACTAGTGTCCCCCCAAAAAGCGAACACCAAGCGAGCACTGTGTCTCTTTGAACTGTGACATTCCCCACTCCTCCCCTCCCCGGAAATAGAGCGGAACCAGAACATCAGGTGGCTTTGGCAAGGAAGGGGAGGGCAGATAAGGATCTGTTTGGCCTTTGGGAGATGTTGTGTGCAAGTGTTGGGGTGTGTGTGTGTGTGTGTGTGTGTGTGTGTGTGTGTAATGGAGTGGGAGTGACTCACCTTGTATTTCTAAGTACCATAATGGAGACGGGCGGACAGAGTGAAACTAACAGGGAATGCAGATTGGTAGGACAAAGCAAGTTACTTAGGCCTCTGGGTAAAGTGGAAGACGGGGAATGAGGGAAGAGACTTGAAGTCATTATGTTGTAGGGACAGAAGTCATAATAATAATGATTAAGAGACCAGAAAAGAGTAAAATTAAGAAAATGACAATTTATTTACAGTCGATACACAAATTAAAACTTACTATGGTGTGGGGATGGGTGCTGGGCTTCACATTCTTGCTTGATTTTCTTGCTCAAAGCTGGAGCTCTATCACTTGAGCCCAGTTTCACTTCCAGCCTTTTGCTGGTTAACTGGAGATGAGAGTCTGCTGGAGCTGGCTTCAAACAGCTGTTCTCAGATCTCATCCTCTTGGGTAAACAGGTTTACAGGCTTGAGCCACCAGTGCTTGGCAAACTTACTATAACTTTAAGAAAAAAATTATATGAAAACAAGTATTAATATAGATACTAAACATACAGCAGTGTTTGGGTACTATGTTGTATAAACTTTTAAAGTAGTCTTAAAGGTTATTACAGGAAGATCTTGATCAGAAAATCTGACTTTAATTTTTTCTCAGACCTTAGTAATGATATTGTTACTGTTTTTTTTATTAATTTGTTTCCTTCTGCTTTGGGGCTGATTTTCAGGGCTCAGTAAAGAGACAAGCTTTATATGCCTGTAGTACTTGCACCCCAGAGGGAGAAGAACCAGCAGGAATTTGTCTGGCTTGTAGTTACGAATGCCATGGAAGTCATAAACTCTTTGAACTATACACAAAAAGGTAAATAGATTGTTGCTAGTGTTTACTAAATGTTTATATTCTTTCCCAACTTGACCTGTTTCTTATTTAGTACAATTGTATAATTGAAGGGATTTTTCCCCCCCATAGGACCTTTTAAAACATAATTATGGTAAAAACTCAACTTACTCATTCTTTCTCTGCATTACTTTAGTTGTGTGAGTAGTACAGCTATTTGTCTTTATATTAATTTCCAGAATTGTAAATCTCTTCATTGTCATGGGCTTGGGGAAATTCCAAATTAGATACAGGAGCAGCAATGGAAGGCACTCTAAATCCTAGAAATGAGGCAAAGGGAAGAGGCAATGACTTGAGTTTAGAGAACACTCAGCACACTGGTAGACCATGCTTATAATCCTAGCTACTCAGGAGGCTGAGATCTGAGGATAGAAGTTCAACACCAGCCTGGGCAGGAATGTCCTTGAGACTCTTATCTTCAATTAACCACTGGAAAACCAGAAGTGGAGCCATGGCTCAAAGTGGTAGAGTGCTAGCCTTGGGCAAAAGAGCTCAGGAATAGCTCCCAGGACCCAAGTTCAAGCCCCACTTAAAAAACAACAACAACTAGCAAATGTAAGTCTGGAAACAGTATTCAAGTGGTAGAGCGCCAGCCTAACCAAGTAAGTGAGAGGCCCTCATTAAAAGAAAATTGACTCTCTTTAATTTTTTTTTTTTTTTTAGAAATTTTCGTTGTGATTGTGGAAACAGCAAGTTTAAAAATCTGGAATGCAAATTATTTCCTGTAAGTAGCAATTATAACTACAAATACATTCAAAGAAGCTGAGAATGATATTATTGAAGTGGGTAAAAAACAGATGTTTTTCAAAAAGGATGTTCTTTTTCTTTGCAGATGAGTATTTCATTTTCACTCTTAGAGAAACTAGATAACCTATAGCATAGATTGTAATTAATAAGAAAAGTTTGGGGAAAATACTCGTGATTGGGGAAAAAAACCTCATGATTGCTAAAGTTGTCATGATTTCCCTTCATTTGAAGACTAGTTTTAGGTGATTTCTTTCACTTCTTCCTGCCCCCCTCCACCTTCCCCCACCGCCAATAACCTGAGAGTCTTTAGTAACAGCCATACATAAAGAAATGCCTTGACATTCCAACCAATGTAAGTTCTCATGGGTTGGGAAAAAAAGAAAAGAATATGTGCATATGTATAAATATGTATACATGCACATGTATGTTGTATATATGTGTGTATGTATATACACAAACACATATATTTATATCTTCATTTTATTGTATGTATGTGTTCATATATGCTCAATTTCCCCCAATTGCTACAAAATGATGCAGAAAATAATACTTTTCCTGATTCTTGGGAAATGTATGAATGAAAGGAATGAATTTTTTTTCCTTCAAACTCAAAGACTAACCTGTGGGAAAAAAATTTTTTTTGTGGAAAATAGTTAATGCAAAGATTGATGACATGCATATATCTATTATATGATTTATGAAATCATACTCAAAATTAGATCTTGTTATATGATAAAATTATTGTCTTTCAGGAGAAAGCAAAGGTAAATTCTGGTAATAAGTACAATGACAACTTCTTTGGACTGTATTGCATTTGCAAGAGACCTTATCCAGATCCTGAAGATGAGGTAAGAGATTTGGAGGTTAAAGTCTGACTATATTGACTCTAGCCTCTTCAGCCTCTTGTCATATATTTTAGAGATAACTCAGGATGTTGGAGTATCTTGTAGGAATAACGATACCAAGTCAAAAGGAACTCAGTAAGGCAAACTTTATCTTTGCAGAAGGGTGCACCATTGGCCCAAAATCTGGCAAGCAAGCACATGTAACTCACAGCTACTCCCTTTGCTCACGTTGGCTGAGCTCAGGTTCACAGTCTGCAAAAGGATGTGGCTTAATTAACAAGATGTAACTAAAATCAAGGAGCTTCTCACAGAAAGTCTTAATTAAAGTGCTCAGGAAAAGAATATAACTAAAATGTAAAAAGGTCCAAGTCACCTGATCAAAGCAGGAACCCTTGCCGGGTGCCAGCAGCTCATGCCTATAATCCTGGCTACTCAGGAGGCTGAGATTTGAGGATTGTGGTTCAAAGCCATCCCGGGCAGGAAAAGCGGTGAAATTCTTTATCTCCAATAAACCACCAGACAAACGGGAAGTGGCACTGTGGCTAAGTGGTAGAGTGCTAGCCTTGAACTGCAGAGCTGAGGGACAGTACTCAGGCCCAGAGTTCAAGCCCTATAAGGGACCAAAAAAAAAGCAGGAACCCTTCAGAAAATGTTTTTTATCAAAATTAACAGAAAGGAAACAAAGTACTTTAGGAGCTCTTCAGGAAGTATTTCATGATACTCAAGGATTATATATTTACTCTTATACATAACTGGCTTGGATCTATAACCAGTACAGATCCCAATGAGATATTGGAAAGGACTTTTCCAAGACCAGAACTTTCTTTTCTCACTTTTCCCTGCCTGCTTCACCAATAAACATTTTCTGAGAAGGGACCTTCTACTTCTTGCCTTCCTGGAAGTAAAGAAATGTGTACATAACAATTTCAATGGCAAGTATAGGCAAATTTTAGAGTTCTTTCTCATTCCTTCTTCCTTCCCAAGTGTATCCCAGGTAAATACAGTGTGTCTACAGTTACATAGCTGAGAATCCTGCAAATGTATATGGGATGGATATCTACATGTAGAATTAATGTGTCAGAGAGCATTTGTATTTCAAATTGTGATCATGCCCACCAAAAGGATTCAACCACCAATATATGATACTATTTTTTACCTCCAACAGTCTTATCAACCCTATATATTAAAATTTTGCCATTCTAATAAATGAATAGTACCTTTTAAAGTTTTTGCTGGGGCTGGGAAGGTGGCTCAGTGGTAGAGCGCTTGCCTTGCATGCTCGAGGCCCTGGGTTCGATTCCTCAGCACCACATAAGCAAAAAAGAAAAAAAACCGGAAATGGCGCTGTGGCTTAAGTGGTAGAGTGCTAGCCTTGAGCTGAAGAGCTGAGGGACAGCGCCCAGACCCAGAGTTCAGGCCCCACAACCGGACCAAATAAAGTTTTTACTTTCCTTGATTATGATTGAAGTTA